AGAGCACGTTTTAGGAAATTTAAACTTTTCATCCCCAAAGTAATAGTGTGCTAGTGCAACTTGAAGTGTGACTTCCTAGCCATAAAGTTCTGTTGAACGAATGACTAATTGGTAAGAGGATTTGCACCCTAAATCCTGGAGTGGGGAAGATGGTACTATATTTATATATAAAATAATTAACAGTTATATAGTTTATTTATGTGAACATTAACACCTTTTGTTGCTAAAATTTGTAAACAATTCTAGCATGTATTTTTGTATCAAGTATTATATGAATGGTGTATACTTTACAAACATTTATGATTTTTTACTATGTTACATTTAAAAATGGATAAACATTAGACCAGTATATTTATAAACTTGTCTAAGTCTGTAACCTGCCAGATATTTTACTCACACATTGAGATTATTTATTAATTTGTAGTGCATAATTGTAAGCTTCATTTAAAAAAATTAAATTGCAAATAGGTAGATTCAGAAACTCAAATTTTTGTGTATATTGAAGAGTTATGGAATTTCAGTTGTATTTAATTGTAAGCTAAAAGAAATGTTTAAAAATTCAGATCATTTAAATTGTATGAGAAGTAACATGAAAATAGATTTATTATGTTGTTTCTGGCAAATTTTTTCACTTAAAAGTACTCCAATGTGTATGTTTCTGTGGGCATATATGTGTGACGGCATATATGTGTGACTGTATATATGAACATTAAAAATTTTTTTTCAAATATGTTAAACATGATGCTGGTTTTGATTTTCATGGAAACGTTTTTTTTCTTTTCAAGGCAGGTTTTACTCTATTGCCCAGGCTAGAGTGCAGTGGCACATTCTTGGCTCACTGCAACCTCTGCCTCCCATGCTCAAGTGATCCTCCCATCTCAACTTCCTGAGTAGCAGGGACTACAGGCTCACACCACCATGCCTGGCTAATTTTTGTATTTTTAGTAGAGACAGGATTTCACCATGTTGCCCAAGCTAGTCTCGAACTCCTGGGCTCAAGTGATCATCCCTCCTCAGGCTTCCAAAATGCTGGGATTACAAGCATGAGCCATCGCGTCTGGCCAGAAATGATTTTGGAAAAGGACTTAATTATCTTTAACAATCAAATAATTATTATTAAGGAAAAGGACTTAAGTGATGGCCTAGTCTAACCTAATAAACCTGTAAACAAATAAAATTTATTGGCTGGGCGCGGTGGCTCAAGCCTGTAATCCCAGCACTTTGGGAGGCCGAGACGGGCGGATCACGAGGTCAGGAGATCGAGACCATCCTGGCTAACCCCGTGAAACCCCGTCTCTACTAAAAAATACAAAAAACTAGCCGGGCGAGGTGGCGGGCGCCTGCAGTCCCAGCTACTCGGGAGGCTGAGGCAGGAGAATGGCATAAACCCGGGAGGCGGAGCTTGCAATGAGCTGAGATCCGGCCACTGCACTCCAGCCTGGGCGACAGAGCGAGGCTCTGTCTCAAAAAAAAAAAAAAGAAAAAAAAAAAAACAAATAAAATTTATCGTATGATGTGGTGAAGATAGTTTGCTAGAGATTGCAGACGATAGAATGACAATGTTGGCTTTTCTATTTTCTTCCTCTTACATGACTTGGCTCCTAATACTTGAAACATGTGTATTACTATGATATAAAGAGGATTATAAATGGAACAAGAATTTCCATAGGAGTCCGTCACAGTGCCTAATTAACTTGGAAAAAATTGTTCCGTGAAATAGTTTTTTGGTAGAATTTTAAAGCATTTTTTCTTAAAGATAAGTTTATTAAATATGATTGACAAAAATTTTAATATTAGGCCAGTGGTGGTAGCTCACACCTGTAATCCCAGAATTTTGGGAGGCCGAGGAGGGAAAATTGATTGTGGCCTTAAGTTCAAGACCAACCTGGGCAACATAGCTAGACTTTGTCTCTACAAAAATTTAAAAAAAAATTTAAAAAAAAAAGGCATATATGGTGGTATGCACCTGTAGTCCCAGGTACTGAGGTAAGGTAGGAGGGTTGCTTGAGTCCAGGAGTTCAAGACTACAGTGAGCTGTGATTGTGCCACTGTACTGTGGCTTGGGTGGTGGAGTGAGACCCTGTTTCTTTAAAAAAAAAAAAAAAAAAGTTAAGTCCTGAATGGGCAAAAACTGGCAGCCTTCCCTTTGAAAACTGGCACAAGACAGGGGTGCCCTCTCTCACCACTCCTGTTCAACATAGTGTTGGAAGTTCTGGCCAGGGCAGTCAGGCAGGAGAAAGAAAGGGTATTCAATTAGGAAAAGAGGAAGTCAAATTGTCCCTGATTGCAGATGACATGATTGTATATTTAGAAAACCCCATCATCTCAGCCCCAAATCTCCTTAAGCTGATAAGCAACTTCAGCAAAGTCTCAGGATACAAAATCAATGGTGCAAAAATCACAAGCATTCTTATACACCAATAACAGACAAATAGAGAGCCAAATCATGAGTGAACTCCCATTCACAATAGCTTCAAAGAGAATAAAATACCTAGAAATCCAACTTACAAGGGATGTGAAGGACCTCTTCAAGGAGAACTACAAACCACTGCTCAACGAAATAAAAGAGGACACAAACAAATGGAAGAACATTCCATGATCATGAATAGGAAGAATCAATATCGTGAAACTGGCCATACTGCCCAAGGTAATTTATAGATTCAATGCCATCCCCATCAAGCTACCAATGACTTTCTTCACAGAATTGGAAAAAACTGTTTTAAAGTTCATATGGAACCAAAAAAGAGCCCACATTGCCAAGACAATCCTAAGTCAAAAGAACGAAGCTGGAGGCATCACGCTACCTGACTTCAAACTATACTACAAGTCTACAGTAACCAAAACAGCATGGTACTGGTACCAAGAGAGAGATGTAGACCAATGGAACAGAACAGAACCCTCAGAAATAATACCACACATCTACAACCATCTGATCTTTGACAAACTAGACAAAAATAAGAAATGGGGAAAGGATTCCCTATTTAATAAATGGTGCTGGGAAAACTGGCTAGCCATATATAGAAAGCTGAAACTGGATCCCTTCCTTACACCTCATACAAAAATTAATTCAAGATGGATTAAAGACTTAAATGTTAGACCTAAAACCATAAAAACCCAAGAAGAAAACCTAGGCAATACCATTCAGGACATAGGCATGGGTGAGAACTTCATGTCTAAAACACCAAAAACAATGGAACAAAAGCCAGAATTGACAAATGGGACCTAATTAAACTAAAGAGCTTCTGCACAGCAAAAGAAACTACCATCAGAGTGAACAGGAAACCTGCAGAATGGGAGAAAATTTTGCAATCTACTCACCTGACAAAGGGCTAATATCCAGAATCTACAAAGAACTCAAACAAATTTACAAGAAAAAAACAACCCCATCAAAAAGTGGGCAAAGGATATGAACAGACAGTTCTCAAAAGAAGGCATTTATGCAGCCAGCAGACACATGAAAAAGTGCTCATCATCACTGGCCATCAGAGAAATGCAAATCAAAACCACAATGAGATACCATCTCACACTAGTTGGAATGGCGATCATTAAAAAGTCAGGAAAAAACAGGTGCTGGCGAGGATGTGGAGAAATAGGAACACTTTTACACTGTTGTTGGGACTGTAAACTAGTTCAACCATTGTGGAAGACAGTGTGGCGATTCCTCAAGGATCTAGAACTAGAAATAACATTTGACCCAGCCATCCCATTACTGGGTATATACCCAAAGGATTATAAATCATGCTGCTATAAAGACACATGCACATGTATGTATATTGTGGCACTATTCACAATAACAGAGACTTGGAACCAATCCAAATTTCCATCAATGATAGACTGGATTAAGAAAATGTGGCAAGTATACACCATGATATGCAGCCATAAAAAAGGATGAGTTCATGTCCTTTGTAGGTACATGGATGAAGCTAGAAACCATCATTCTGAGCAAACTATCGCAAGAACAGAAACAAACACCGCATGTTCTCGCTCACAGGTGGGAATTGAACAATGAGAACACTTTGACACAGGAAGGAGAACATCACACACCAGGGACTGTTGTGGGGTAGGGGTAGGGGGGAGGGACAGCATTAGGAGATATACCTAATGTAAATGACAAGTTAATGGGTGCAACACACCAACGTGGCACATGTATACATATGTAACAAACCTGCACGTTGTGCACATGTACCCTAGAACTTAAAGTATAATAATAATTTTTTAAAAGTTCATGTTAAATGGAAGGAAAGAAATACTTTTGTGAATGAGTGAGGTGTCACATTAACAAAGAGAGCTTCACTGGAATTCTCTGTTCTTGATTCTAGTTTGCATATCCCTATGTCAGAAACAATAAATCTTCTCCGGTGTTAACGTGGAAATTCACCACAGATAAGGCAAAGGTGCTATGTCTGTGTTCACTCATGCAGAGTTCTCAGGAGGAATGAGCTTTCAGTAGTACATCAGCTGAAATCAGTTTACCATAAAAATAAAGTTTTAAGTTGAGTATGTTTTTCTTAAAACATTTAGAATAAGTTGATTTGAAAATTTAGGAAAATAAATACACTTTTTAGGTGAAAAAAGAGTTTAACCTAAGCAAGTTGTGAAGAGAATACATGTACATGCATTTTATACTTCTTTGGGACATTTCTATAGTTTGCCACTGAGACATTTCCCATCCCTACTGGAATATTCTCAAAGTTCACCTGAGGATGATTTAAAATAACCTAACAGAAAACTCACCCATGCTAATAATTCTCCTTTTCTTACATCTTTAATTTGAAAATATTGTTAGAATTTTCCAGAAAAATCTATGACTGAAACTTAAGAATTTGCATGCTTTCTTGTCATTCTGTGGAAATTATTAAAGATAGTTCACTTTCTCCAAGGTGTACTTTTTGTAATTGTTTTTAATTTTTATTTATCTGGAAGTTTGGCTTATGTTCCCAATTCATATTACTTAAATCTCTGAGGTTGTCCTCATTGATTTTTTTTTTCTTTCTTTCTAGTTTTGGCAAGCGTTCTGCAGGAAGTTTTAGGCGTGGCTGTGAATGCATTGTTTTAGAGCCTTCTGAGATGATTGTGGTAAGAGTATTACTTGTGAGGACTATTTTTCTCCTGAAAAATTGCATGAAATAAAGGCATTTTTACAAACTGCTTATAATATTAGATTTTTGTTGAATAGAAAATATTGTATATTTTCTATAACATTAGACATATTTCACAACTTTGTATTATGAATTTGAGTTCATAATCATAATATTTCATTATTTACAGGATTCAATTAAATGCAAAAAAATTTTTAAAAGTACAAGTAGCTAAGTGTTTGATTTTTGTACTTTGTAATTCAGTCTATAATAATGCCATTTAATTGAAATTTGGGGAGAATCTCTTGATTGCAGGATTTTAGCTCTCCAAGTTTTGATTGGTTTGAGTGACTTACTTTAAATGAATCACTAGGTTTGCTGGTGTGAGAACAATTTTGGAATCTAAACATGCCTCCACTGTGAGTGTTTGTGAGGAATAACCAAATGGAACTTTGTTCACTGTTAATTCATTCATCAGAGTTTCTAAGATGTTTTAAATGAGGAATTATTTTTTAAACAACACTATTTTTAAAAACGCAAGAAAATCACTTGAATTCTTTGAAGTAATTAAAAGGAAATTTGGGGACTATTATGCTGGTTAAACACTCTGTTGACATCTTTTCTCTCTTTTTAATGGAATTTTGTGACTTAAAAATTTATAAAGAGAGATTATACATGGAACGTATTAGTAAAATAGATATTAGCAACCTTGAAGCTTAAAAACCAAACCTGTCATACTTTTTTCTTACTGTATAGGAATGATTTTAAGATAGGATAATATGTACCCTTTAAAAAAATTAGTCACAGAAATGAGATGAGGTGGAAGGGGAGTTTCCCAGTCTAGACATTAAGTAGATATTCTTACTGTCCCCGTCCAGCATCCTAGCTGGGAAGGAAGATCTTGTAAAGTAAATGATAACCAAATAAAGATGACGATGGAAACTTTATTCACGTTTAGTAAAGTATTTGATAAACAATTGTAGGTCTGTTTTCAGAGAAGATGTAGGGTTTTTCCCTATGATGTAGGAGAGGAATTCCGTCAGAAATGAGAACTTCCTCATCAAAGCTAGCAAACTTTTTGTAAAATTTACTGTAATATTTGGTAAAGTTTTACAAAATGTACTCAAGTGAGAAAGTAGCATAGTTATGAGTAAGGATTTAGGGTTGGGAAGAATGTGGGCAGCTATATAGCACTTTCCAACAGTAGATAGTCAAGATATTTCCTTGAGATTTTGCCCTCTGTTAATGCCACTTTTAGTTTTCTCTGAAGGATTTTTAGTCTTTAAAATTGAGTATTTTATACTTGCTGATACTACATGAACTACTAGGTTTGCTGGTGTGAGAACAGTTACATAACCTAAACATGCCTCCATTATGAGCAGTCACATGAGGAATAACCTAATGTAACTTTTATTCCCTGTTCATTCATCAGCATTTCTAATTTTTTTTTTTTTTTTTTTGAGACAGAGTCTCGCCCTGTTGCCCAATTTGGAGTGCAATGGTGTGATCTCAGCTCACTGTAACTTCCACCTCCTGAGTTCAAGCAATTCTCCTGCCTAAGCCTCCCGAGTAGCTGGAATTACAGGCATGTGCCACCACACCCAGCTAATTTTTTGTATCTTTAGTAGAGATGGGGTTTCACCATGTTGGCCAGGCTGGTCTTGAACTCCTGACCTCATGATCCACCCGTCTCAGCCTCCCAAAGTGCTGGGATTACAGACGTGAGCAACTGTGCCTGGCCTAAAATGTTTTTAAATGAGGAATTACTTTTAAACAACACTATTTATAAAAAAAAAAAAGAAACTGAAGTCACGGAATGAAAGTAGAAGGAGAAACCCTTGCATAACCTACCGAAGCCATTCTGTTAGCAGTGTTTGAGTCATTTGGAGGTTTTTACAGATTTCGATCAGTTTTTTTTTTGTTTTCGTTTTTTCCACGTTGCTTAAGACAGTGTGGCAGTTGCTTTCATAATGTGTGGTAATGTATCCTGTGAGATCTTTCACTAATAAATCAGTACAAAGACTGCTGAAAATATCCTTCCCTTTGAAACTACAGGAAATTCAAGAGTTACCCATATTGTCCTAAGTGGAACTGAAAATGCCTCCTCATAAAAGAAATGTTACTTAAAACCAATTAGTTCCAGAGAAGTTCAGAGACACTTGAAGTTTGTCTAGATAGTTTGTCTACAGATGTCCTTTGCAAGATGATTGAATATGGGTTATCTGTAAGTTTCTTTCTGTATCTAATATTAATAGGAAATGTTGCATTTGGAGAAATGAAATTTTGGGGGGTTTTATTTCAGGTGGACTATATGGATGAAAATGAAGAATATTTTCAGCGTCAAGCTTCCCATAGACAGTCTCGAAGGAGATTTAGAAAAATCAACCAGAAGGGTGAAAGACAAACAATTATTGACACTGTGGATCCTTATCCCATGGGCAAACCTCCTTTGCCTAGAGGCTATCACACGGTAAGTTATACGAGTGTAATCATTTTATTTATTTCTAGTTTTTTTGTTGGGGTTGTATGAAAAGATGTTTAAATTTTCAATTTTTGACAAATCTTTTCAATGATATATATACACACACACGTTAAATATACTTAAATATTTTTATTTGTTATATTAATATAAAATAAATATATTTATATATTTAAATTTATATTTATTAAAGAAATAGTAGATTTTTCTGGAAGCAAACATGATATGATTAGTTTTTAAAAGACATTGAAATAAGATGTCCACAGACTTTGCTAGCTCCTTTATTTCTTAAGTTGTTCTCTGAAGATCAGCTTTGTGATAAGCCCATATAATTGTAATTGGAGTATTTTAAGTTGTTTTACCTTAATCTAACATTTTAGCCCCCTCCTGTGCACTCCACCCTTCACTCCCAACCCGAATGGCTGCTATCTATTTAAAAGTAGATATGTAAAAATTGCATTATTTTTCATAGTTTTTTATACCATTGTGAGAATATCTGAGATTTATTTTTTTAATGCAATGAAGTAAGAATAATTTGAAATAATGCTTTTTAAAATCTCAATGTGAAGATGCCCTGAAATATTTCTAATAGGTTCAAAGATCCTCTTAAAGGCAGGCAGACATAACCCAGTTGATTGTCATTTATTTCATAAATATTGATAAATAAACTGCTTTTTATGTTTGAGGAAACCAAGACACAGATAATGAGTGCTTTGTTTAAGATCTCAATAAAGTCACTTTAAAGCCTTATTTTTCTTATTCCTTTGTTTTTTCAAGAGCAAAGTAGCTTAGATTCCTGGATAGGTCATAATAATGTGAAAGATCGTTTATGCATGTAATACCATTAAATGAGTGGTTATTTTATGTATAATTAATTTTAAAATAAAAATGTAAAAAATAAAAATAGATAATTAACAACTGTTTTACATTCCCCAGTTGTTTACGGTTTTCTTTTCTGCAAATAAGTATAAATACAAAATGCATGGGAAAATGTATATAGACTTAAAATTATTTACTCAACTTTTAATAAGTTTAAGTGATATATCTTACACCCACACTTCATATATTCTATTTCTCAGAGAGCTCTTTTTATTTAAATATTTAATGTGGTTTTGACCACTAGCAATCTGACTACTCCTCTTGCTACCCATGAAGTATTTTAGTTTAACATGAATTTCATAGTTGAATCATTGCATTGAGCTCATTTGGAAAGGACTGCTTTTTGCTCATCACAAAGACATCTTTGTCTATTGGAGAGACTTAGTATTAAAAAAAACCATGAAAGGTTTTTTGTTACCATTGTCCATAAAAGAAGGTAATGTTTTTGGGGTTGATGTAGCATTATGGAAGAAGGAAATATGTATTAAAAATAGTTACACATATTAATAGTACAACACAGATAATATTTTAGCCTAGCATTAATATTGCTAATTTTTTTCTGCTTTGGAATTGTTTTTCCAGTTTAGTTGTCAAACTAAAATAGTCAGTGGGAGTCTGGATTATTTAAAATGTAGTGCTAAAGTTGGTTTGTTTGTTCTTATAGTCGTATTTGTCACACTTTAGTTGGGTGGGCCATTTGGTAACTGTCACCCCCACCCCCACTGTGATTCCCCTTTTATGGAAAACTTCATTCAGTTTCCTTACACTGCTCCCGTTTCATTATTTGTTTTAAAATATATATTTCTTTTATTGTTACAAGATTTTTTTTTTTTTTTAGTGGATTTTTAAGAATGTCTTACCTAGCCAGCAGATACTTTTAGGGAAAATTCAATACTAGGATGAAAAATTTGGCTTGATTACTAATGGATCTTATACTGGTTTACTAATGTGTGACATGTGGCATTAGTTTTACTAAATGAGTTAAGATTGGCAACAACATGGTCATAAGGATTGCATCCTTTTTGGGGTGTAAAAATGATGTATATTTATTTATTTTACATAAATACATAATTTTAATGTAGGAAGATTGCAAAATTTTGTTTTGTATATATGATACCACATAGTAAAAAGAATTAAATAGAAATTATTATTTATTACCCCTACATCATATTTACTTATTTTTAACAGAAATAGTTCTCTTTGAAGGAAATTGGCTAATAGGGAAGGACTGAGGGTAAAAAGTTTATTTAAAAGAATTGCATGATCAACTTCACAGGTGATTTAAAGTGATTGCAAGTGCATTTCAAGTGCATGGCTAAAGAACATGGGAAGCATTATACATATAGCTGATTCTGTATGATCATTCTTAACTTAATTTTAACATTATCTTCATTTTGGCAGATGTAATATAGCATGTCTGATAATGTTCATCTTTTCCTTTCCTCCTTTATGGCACTCATTTCATTTTGGCTCAAAGGAATGCACTAAATCTCAGGTATTGTAATTTGTGTGTGGTCTCCTGACACTAACCTAAGTTTATGTGTGAATTTGCACTGTTACTAATGAATTTATAATATTGGTATGTTGTGCTTGGTCTTGTCCTTCTGTATTTTGCCCTAATTTACTTTGAAATTATCAGTGGTTTGGGTGGTAGAATAGGCTGCTTGATCTATACAGACCTGGGGATGGATTGTCCATGTTGAAGAAAGAATTCAAGTGCAAGCTACTTATTTTTAAAAATGAATGGAGCACTTAAAAAAATGAATGGAACACTATTCTTCACTAACCTGCTTTGCAAATAAAAAAATGAAGAGAGAAACGCAGGCAGACATAAAGGATTTTTTTTCCTTTTTATGTGAAAGCTTATGGGAAATTCATTAGAAATTTACATTTTAAATACTATAGATGAAAACTTTAAAGTTCAGGAATCCCAATGGGAGAACATTTTGGGAGGCCACTGGTAAAATTTCAGTCAGATTTTTTTTAAAAAGCTTAGTTAGAAAGGAAACAAAGTTTAAAATCTCTTTGTATTTTCTTATTTGCACTTTATTTTTAACAAGGTTTCTTGCTTTTATTTCATTCTACATTTTAATTGAGGTCTGTAATAATCTCCTTGGTCACTTCTTTCATGCCAGTACATGACTAAGTACTATACTAAGTACTAAAGTACATGACTAAGTACTGTACTAAGTACTAAAATCTATGTTTTTCAGTGTGAGTTCTTTGAAGATCTAGATTACATTTGGGGTTATCAGGGAATTTTGAGTCAAGGAAGAAAAACTGATTTATTCCTGAAAACTAATTGGTTAAGTAACTAGTAGCATTTTATGCTTGTGTTTTATCATTGTACAGGGAAAAGATCATGAATAATTTATTCACTTTGGGGAAATCTATCATCTGTATATCTTTGGCTGTTAGAGTAACTTTGCCTAAAAGTATGAATTTTATGTATAAGTTTTCAAATTAAAGTAAGACAGTTCCTTTATGTTCTATACAAGAGAGTACGTATTAGAATGCCACAGGTGTCATGATTGCTGTATTGGTTTTTGGAAGCACTACTAATTTTTAAATGATGTGATAAATCTAAAACATTTTTATATAATTTAAAAATTTTAAGTTAAAATAATTTTTAAATTGTACACAGTTTTATGTACATCAGTGTTTTGAGCTTCTCTCTGAAAATAGTACACTTACATATAACATAATTTTAAAAAGGTAAATCAATATGTAATTGATCTTCCTCTTTTTTTAGCATAGATTACCAGTCTAATTCCTACTTAGAACTTGGAATTGAATTTAAAATATGCACTGAGTTATGATGTATACTTTAATGTACACTTTTTAAAATTAGATGTGTCACAATAGTTTAAAATGGATTATAATTATTTTCTTCAGAAACATGAATACTCATAGTCCATGTAGTGTGTTTTCAGGACATTTTTCAAGGCAAGTGTATGAAGTTTGCAGAGAGAATAGCATTTTAAAATGCAGTGAGAAAGGAAGATTGGAGATGGCTTTCATTAGCATTTTCTTACATTTTGATGAGTAGAGATTGAGGCTGTATTTAAAATTGCTAAAAAATAAGATTTAGCATGAATTTTCAGTCTTAGAGTGAGTAGTTATAGAGGCAGGTAATAAGGTTCCTGGCAGAGGCTGGAAGATTTGGGGTCCATCACTAAAGAGACTATCTGGGGACTTTGGATGGTAAAGTTTACCTTGTCTCCGGGTTCAGAATAGGGCAGGAGAAGAAAAGCTATGTTTGTTTTACCCATGGTTTCAAGCTTTCTCTGTATTGATCAGTAATTTATTCTAGAAGTTTGTGTGGGTAGGAAAATCTGAATTCCATATTAAAAATGGAGAGGAGAGGAAGGACCATTTTAACTTTTACCTTATTGGAGCGACGTGGGAAGCTGGCACATTCCTCTTCCATCATCTTCTATCCCTCCCCTGATTTTAATAAGGAAAAAACGCAGCTCTTCCATTTTTCCAGTTTGGAAAGAGGAAAACTGTACAGAGAAATATTAGACTAAAGATTGAAGAAAACTTGTCCAACTGTAAAGGTTATGTGTCCCAACTGACATTGCATAATTTCCATCCTTCCTAGGCTGGTGGCAATATTAAAATGCTCTCCATGCTTTAAAGTTCTGGTTGACCTCACACTCCCACTCCTGCTTACCCAAAAATACGGCTCCACTTTATACAAATCTGAATCAGGAGAATTTGAACACAGTGTAAATAAAACATATTTATAAAGTTTCAGTCAATGCAAAAATTTTAAAATGATGAAAACTCATTGGTTGTGTAAAAGGGTATCTCCCACACATTTTATTAGTAGTCCTTTTCTACAATGTGAATATACACTCCAGAGTACTGTTTCATAAAGGTACACTGAATTTTCCAGTAGATGAGGCTTAATGTTCTTAGAGAGAATGTGCAAAAGTAATGGAAAATACTACATAAGATTAAATTAATATAATGTAAGTTGAATGCCATATAATATTAAACTTTATGGAAATAATTTTTGTTGTAGTCAGTGATAATACAATATTTTTAAAGTGTGGCAGCAAGGTAATAAGATTGATTCATATATGAGGCTTATGAAAATCAGTCTCATTTTAAAACTAAGGTTATTAGTTTTAAATATATATTATTTAAAACTAGTATTTAAATATATATTATACATATTAATATATAATATGTATAATAAATAAGACAAATTCTGTTTCTTACAATGGGTGTATAAGATATAACCATTCCTAGAATATATCTTAAATATCTCTGAAGTCACTATTTCTTTTGAGATAGAGTTAAGTTGATTTCTCCTTCAGTTAAAGACTCCTTGGTAGTTTTGGTTTGTTACAAAAATCATTTAGCTATTGAAACAAATGAAAACATTACAGCATTTAGTTTCCGTGATCGTGTACATTTATTTGACATTTAGGCTTTTTGACTTGAGTTATGTTCTTAAATAAGTAGGCAATATTTTTACTCGTGTCATGTATTTGCCTTGTCATTTATTATTTATTAGGTGTGACTCAGTATTTGCTACTTAAAATAAGAGGATATGTTTTGGGTAATGTATCAATGACTTGTATAGCTAGTAAATTTCCTAGAATATTTAAGGACTTCAGATTTTACCTTCAGTTTATATGATATCACACCTAGCTATAATTTATATGATGATATTTAAAAATCTGTATATGTACATATATATGAAATTATGCAAATACAGAGGAAATTTCTTAGTTCTCTTAACATTTTTTGTCCTTTTAAAACATAAATTTATCAAGCATTTGTTTGCTTAATTGGACCTGAAGACTTGTCTTCAATATTATTATCAGTGTCTCTGTGAATTATAATGGGATAGAGTTTCAGGAAATTTGTGTATTTTATTTCTTGTATCATAGAGAGAAAAGCTCAATATTTTCATTTATGTATTTTTGGTCATTTAACACATATTCATTGAGTGCCCACCATGCTTCAGGTCTGTCCCAGGCTCTAGAGATATAAAAGTCTGCAACACAGGAGAATCTGCGCTCCCTTTGCCCTTATAGTCTCACAGGGAATACAGATAAATAAATGGTACACACCCAGGGCCCCTACAGGAGTCAGGGATGATTTCATGAACCACCTCAATGTCTTGGCTCAAAGAAAGATGTTTTGTACAGAAACAATCTTATTTGCTCAAAGACTTAGAGGTTGAGTGGTCATAGGGTTTTTGAAAGCCATGTTGAAAGTTGAACTTTTTCATGACTGTAAGGAAGAACAAAGAGACTGAAGCAGAGGTGTGACATACTGAGATTTACATTTAAATAAACTACTCTGGCTCCGAGATGTAATAGATTTTGGGGATAGGGATGGTCAGGTGGGACCACAGGACCTGGTTAAGTAATGGAAATGGAAGTGGTGGCTAGAATATGGCAACTGGAGTAAGAATGAAAGGTGAGGGATTTAGGTGGTATTCGGGGGGAAGAAAGTAGAAATAATTTATGTTTCAAAATAAAACTTTAGCTCTAATTTATTAATTTCTGATGATTTGCTTTGTGGGCAGTACTTTCTATTCCAATAGTGTTTAATGACCATACTGTGTAGGAATATAAATACGTGAGTGAGAGTTTGAGGTAGATTAGTTTCAAGCAGATTACTCTTTAATCCAGGAAAGCTAAAGAGAAATGTGAAAACTGAATTAGGTAATAAAGAATGGAAAAGAGGATGTGGAGAGAGTGTTAGAGAGTGATATACATACAAATAAAAACCCCCTGGCCGGGCGCGGTGGCTCAAGCCTGTAATCCCAGCACTTTGGGAGGCCGAGACGGGCGGATCACGAGGCCAGGAGTTCGAGACCATCCTGGCTAACACGGTGAAACCCTGTCTCTACTAAAAAAAAATACAAAAAACTAGCCGGGCGAGGTGGCGGGCGCCTGTAGTCCCGGCTACTCGGGAGGCTGAGGCAGGAGAATGGCGTAAAAACCCGGGAGGCAGAGCTTGCAGTGAGCTGAGATCCGGCCACTGCACTCCAGCCTGGGCGACACAGCGAGACTCCGTCTCAAAAAAACAAAAAAAAAAAACCCCACAAATTTTACTAAAATTTATTGTTTGGATGCCTGAAGCTTTATGTTTTCATCAGAAGAGTCTTTGGAGAGTGGTGTCAAAAGTATCCTTTGCTTTTCACGCCCATTATCAGCAGATTTACTAGTTCCTCTGTACCCTAGATTATGTTGCATTTTAACATCCTACAGAAAGCTCCCTGTGGAAAAGTCTCTGAACAATAGGTGGATGTAACAATACTGTGCTGTGTGCTGCAATTTCTGGCCAAATGCAGCATGTTAAAGCTGCTGTAGTGGTCTCAACCTCCTTGCTTTGGGGGCACTAATTCTCTTTCTTGCAGTTATAATCAGGTATTTATGTTGATTTAATTTATATGGATTGGGAAATTGCACTATAGCATATGTACAGAAATTGAAATGTAAATCAGGAAATAGTTTAGAAAATAAA